AGAAAGGGTGGATCTTGGGACGTTAAAACGGCGCGCTACGTCACGAATTGAAGAGATTTCTTGATTCTTAAAAGCCTTGGTAGCTAGTAAGATCCTACCCTCCTACTCTATTGAATTTCGAGAGTATTGAGTTAGAATTGGTGGCATGGTGGGTGGTTGAACTAACTAAGATCTAATTCATGGACGCGTTTTGGTTGGGGTGGCCAGCTCGCTTACCGAATACGTTATCATTTGGCTAGTAGTTAGTAATCATATAACTAGCCCTACCATAGTTGTATGACCGGTAATTTCACGACTAGTCAGAGACTAGATCTCAACTCCAAGGTCCGGGAATTTTTCCATAGTATATTGAAATGAAATTTCTATCTACTTCGCTTCGCTTAGCAAAACAATAAGCCTATTCTATAGCCGAGGTATAACTATATCCTAATCTTTCACTTGTAGAAGGTAAGTAAGAGCTTCGATAACGACGGAAGAACAGTGTTTCCGGTCGACCATATGTATATTGAAGAGCGTAGTACGGAGCACGTATTTTTGTAATATTAAAAAAAAGCCCAAAAGATTCATCTTCCTTTCCCCCTAAGTGTGAATATATGCGCAGTGCATGCTACCCTGCGCCGTGGAGCAAAGTACTGATGAAGTGGACCACTTAGCGTAAGCAAGTAAGAATAGTAGCAAGCAAGTGTGGTAAATAGAAAGACACAAAACACTCATTTGGGCAGCTATTACAGCAAGGGGTCAAAAGTATTCCAACAACAAGTACAACAAACTCTTTTCAATAAGAAGCCACTATACTCCGTACAATATTCCCTATCCCACATTCTTTTCCGAACGCGGAAGAATCGCAACTTCTAGCAGAGAATTACAACGGCAATTAAAACAAGTAGAGTATCACAGCATAAACCCAGAAATTTACCCCAAAACCCCTCCGATGGCGTAGAAAAAAGTCTAGCCTAAGCCTGCTCCTCCATAACCTCAAAGATGCCGCCCATCACAAAGTTGGGCTTTACCTCTCCAATCCCCAGATCCACCGGCCGAGGCTCCATCAGCCCCAGCCCCTGTCTCTCAATAGAGTCCTCATCGCATCGTGATCGCTCTTCGCTCAGTGCCATGTCGATCTTAGACGGTCGGCGGCGGACAACCATTGCTGAGCGGCCGCGTAGGACAGCGTGGGGGATCACGGTGACAGCATTGTTGGGATTGTCGGAGATTGGGCGCGGGCGGGTTGACAGATTCCCAGGGCTAGTTATATGCCCGAGACGCTCAAGCTGCTCTCGGAATGTGTGGGTGAGGACTTTGGGGGGAAGGAATGATAGGGTGAAGAGGTGGTGTGGAGAGCTCTGAGGTGAGTGTGTGGAGGTTGGAGAGGAGGGTGGTGAGGTTGTTGTTGAGCTTGGACTTGAGAAGTCGCTGTTTGGTCTGGGGCTTCTGGAGCCGAAAGATGTGCTCACAGAGAGAAATGGCGAAGTGATATTATTCATCGTTACTCTGTTGGCTTTAGCTGTGGAATGTGAGACTTTGGCTGTTGGAGATGACCATGTCATAGTAGAATTGGACATGAGGATTGAATTGGTTATTTGTAGGATTGACAGAGATTTTATTGGTGATTTCACTTGGGTTTATTAAATTTTATAACGGGTTGACTGCAAGGACGATGCTGCAGGGAGAGTTGAGACACGGATTGAACCCGGGCGATGCATGCGGATGAATGTGATTGTTCCTGAAAACGGATACACCATGCCTTTGGGACTTGGAGATTTTGGTTCTCTTACCGGGTTTTGCAATCTCCACATGTGGAAGTATGTACTGATCTCAGGTTCATATAGTTCCTATTCGTGTTCACATAGGTCTCATCCGCTTTCCCCGATTTCCTCTTTCGGTGCCAATAGTAACTAGTTCGACCCACTTGATTCATGCACTCTCCTATAGTTTAAATGTTCATGTCTTTTAATGTCCGATTTTCAATAATCAATCTTGATTCAAGTCTATGTAAAAAAAATAAAACAAAATTATTGGGTTGAAGTGGCAATTCCACGCCGCTGCTATGCAAAAATGCTCCCATGCCAAAGAGAGTAGTATACAGCACAATGAAGCCAGAAAAACCAAAAGGGCCAACCAGGCCATGAAACCAAAAAAAAAAAATCCCAATATAGTCGAGGGGAATACTAAAGAATGAAAGAACAAAAAAGGAATGAGGAAAAAACCAACCCACCCTACTATCCACCCCACCCACGTCGTGACGACATCCAAAATTCATATGGTGATCAACATGCACTGCATTTTATTCAGAGCTGGGATCGCCAGATCGTCGCTGCGTGAAGCTTCGCCGGATACTCTCACCCCAAGCGGAGTTGTCCAGCGAATGCATGACATCCTGTACATTCATACCACTGTTGTGACGGGAAGTATCGCTTGTCGAAGACGCCTCGTGCAGTTCGGTAAAGTCGAACGGAGTGCGGTCCCCGTACATTTGACGCGGGGTGATTGAGGGACTGATACTCGACCACTCCCTCGTAGGTGTATTGGAGCTAGATACCGACCCGCTCAAATTGGTATTGATGCGAGGTAGAGTATTGCGGTTTGCGGTTGGGCTGGACTCGGCTCGTCTGTGATGCGAGACCGGTGAGAGCATAGGGGGGAAGTTTCCGTCTAAATCTGGTTGCGTTGTGGGTGTGATCGCGCCGGAACCTGGCTGGTCGTGCTCTCCAGGGTCGTCGCCTGGATCGTCTACAAAGATCTCTGGCACAGTGAATGTCGGGACTGCACTCATCCGGCCGCTCTTCTTGCGCTCAATCTTGCGGCGGAATTCGCGCGACCAGTAGAGGGTATCAAAGAAACCGACGACGGTGTTTCGACGGACAGCCTCTTCCACCCGCTGCAGCCGTGCTCGACGACGTAGGAATTCTTCGAGACGCAGACTCTTGCTATCGCTAATCACGTTGTAATGGGCGAGGATCATTAAGCACTGATGAAATGAGATGCCGCGATCGGGGTCTGCTGAAACAAGGATTTCTTCGTAAAAGGCATTCAATCGTTTGCGCCGCTCTCGAATGCTTTGAACTGGAATCTTCGATATGATCCGAGAGAGTTCACCGATATGCACACCAGATAAGACACGGGAGTTTGGACGCATTGTATGTCGTGGCTCAGCCAGTGAGACCATCGAATCTCTGGCGTAAGAACTCATCGAGTTCCTCTGAGGATCGATTCGGCATTTTTCGAGGATACTTCCGACCGTGAATTCCCCCTCGTAGATTCGCATTGCAAAGACACCCGAGAGCTCACTGAGCAGTCGAGGAAACTGCTCAGTAGATATGAAGCCCGTCCCCTCTGGATCATACGTCGCCCACGCTTGCTTGAACCGGCGGATCTCCTCCCGACTGATCGCGTAGAGTCCGCTACTTCGCTGGTAGACATAAGAGAAACTTTCGAAAATCAACGATGTAAATAGTGAGACAAAGATGTACATGCTGATCAGGTTCCATGCAATGAAGAGAGTTCGGGCCCACGCCGCGCTTCCACAGTCATCATCGAGGAAGTTGGAGTTCTGCGTGCAGAAGGGTGGTGTCATACTAGCGAAGTCCTCCATAAATTGATTCCACCCTTCTCCACAACTTGTTCGGAACAGTAGGATTAGTGATTTGGGAACATCGCGGAAGTTCTGGTTGTGATCCTCATTTTCGCCGAACTTGGTAAGGCCGAACGCCTGGTTCATCGCAATGCCAAACACCAAGAACATCACGAACCAGGTAGCTAGAAGATTTCCAAACACGGACAGACTAGCTGCTGCTGTCTTAAAGAGCTGATCAAGCTGATTGTTCCTTGGAATAAGTAGCAGAGCGACAGACACGAGGAAGAGTTTGTTGAGCTCCACGACGGCGTGACTTTTTTCATGGTATGAAACGTCAAGGACGGAGGTGATGAAAGCGCCGGGGACAGCGATGAGAGAGTACACATCCCACGAACTTCGACTAAATCGATGCCATCCAAGACCAATTAGTCGGATTAAGACATTCGTGACGTAGACAAGCATAAGTACAAAGAATATAAGAGCTAAATTGACCAATTAGTAAAAGGCAACATTTCGAATCGAGTCAGAAAAAAACTTACATCGAAGCACCTCCCACCAGACGGGCTCTGGATAGTACTCCAGCACAAGTAACAGCAAGTGAAATACAAGGACGCAAGTCACGAACCGTGCCCACCGGCCATGCTTCTTAACTGAAATTCGATAACACCACAGCCGCAACTTCTTGCTCTCGTCGTCAAATGATCGTTTTGAGGGGGATACCTGTCGGAGAAGTTTCCTCAATTCCAACCAAGAACGTTGCTCGGCAGTCAGAAAAGCAACACCAGTTTGTTCTGTGTAGTTGCGCATGAACACAGACACAAACAGTGTCAGAACGAACACAGCCCCAAGTAAGTTGAAAACCACAAAGAATAACCCGTTCTCTGGCGCCACTAGATCCTGCGGTTGGGTCATCTTTCCGGTGATACTCATTGCAGCTTCTTGTACGTCGACCCAACCTTCTTGCGAGACGATTTGGAACAAAATGAAAAGGGAGTCACCAAAATTATCAAAGTCATAATAAGAGTTCCCGGCCACTCGTGGAGCAAGCACGTCCCAGTTAAATGGCGAGCTGGAATATTCATTGACGCAATTGGTCAAATTTCCAGAAAAACCACCGTCATTGCAACTGGCCATCTGCCCGTTAAACAGATTGACTCCATAGATTGCAAATGGTATGAGGAAACTCATAGAAACCGCAGCGGCGGCAATGACCTTCCATCCCCCGACAATGATGACAGAGTGGAAGGTGTCCTTGGCGCTATCACTAACGTTCAGAAGACGCAACGCCCTCAGAGCTTTGAAGGCACCAATGGCTCTCGAAACACCCCAGTCCTGTCTAAGCGCGCTGCCGACACTGACCCACAACGTAATCAACACGATTCCGTCAATGAATCCCCAAGAACTGCGGAAAAATGCGTTTGGCGTCCAGAAGAACCCATCGGCAATCACTTTGATCGCTGTTTCGATGGTAAAAATAACGGCAAAGCCTAAGTCAGTGTAGACGAACCAGTTGCGATCAGTCCGGAAATGCTGTCGCTGATACAATGGCGTTGTAATGCAGGCGAGAAGCACCATGGCGACAATGGCTGCATAAATGAACGCAGAGAACGCATACCACACTGGCTTGTATGGATCCACCCCCTCAACTCGTTGATGCCCGCGTCCTGGGCCAACAATTCGTTGACAAATTTTCCGAACGAAATTATTAGGCGGGAAAAGAAACAGAGAGTTGTTATAGTTGGGGTGTTTCACGAGGTATGCTCGCTGGTCCCGTTTTCTCTGCTCTGCCGCAGTAACAACCTCTCTTGCCATGGTTGTCGGATCCAATTGCTCATAAGCACGTGAAAACTTCAGTTTCGAGTAGAAAGGGTTTGGTTCCCTCCGCATAACGAGCGTTGTGGCTTTCGTCCATAGAAGTGAGATCCATCCTGGTTGAAGGTTCTCTTGAGTCGCGCCTTCTAACACTGTGTTCACGCTCTGTGAGTCCTTCCGCCTCTCCCGTCCTTGTTGCATGGTATCTTCTTCATCAAGGAACTCTTGCACTACAGCGTCTTTCAGCAACATTTCCAACGCCGCAGGACCATGGTCAAGTGGATCTTTGTACCGGGCTGAATCTCGGCCCATGCGAAGAATTGTGGAGAGCGCTAGGTTTCCTTGGGGTGCTCCATGGACTTGTTTCTGTTCCAAAAACGCTCTGACCTGGTGCATTCGTTTTTCGTCTTCTGAAACATCAAAGCTTTCCTGAATGACAGCAATGAACATGTTTAGGATGATAAAGTTGGCCACAATGAACCAAAGAATGAAGAACGCTGCCGAAATCCAGGCTGTGTTAAATTCAGTCGTGTATGCCGTCGCATTGTAAAGAATCGTGGTCCAATTCTCGCTCGATAAAATTTGATACATTCCCAGGAATGAGTTGTAAATATTCGAAAACGTGATCATGATCGTCGTGCCACTTGGATCTTGATCTGGGATTTGGCTTCGAAAAAGCTGTGTTGCGAAAATGGCAGATAAAAAGGTCATCAAGAATAGGAAAAAAATCAAGTTGAGCAGACCGACAGTATTGCTGAATACAATCACGATCAGCTTTCTGGTCACAGAGAAAGCCAGTACCACTCGGTAGACTCGAAGGATCTGGAACAAGGTGAGAACTGTGTATGCGCGACCTGAGTTTCTGATGGGCGGTATCTGGATGATGCAGGTAATTATTACAAGCAAAAGGTCTGTCAAGTTACGACGCTTTCGATGAAACATTCGCCAATCCGAGACAAATCGTAAGATAATCTCGATTAGAAAAATGATAGTGACAACAGTCTCAGTAGTATCGATGAACCGTGTGCGACGTGCAGACATAGACGAGCTTCTAAGGGCTTGCACGATGAGGCCGAAGATGATGATGCAGACCCAAAT